TATATATTAGAAAATTACATAAATATATTTAACATTTATTTTTAATTTATATTCAATTTTTAAGAGTAAATAATATCTTATATAAAATATAAAATTTATAAAAATTAAAAATATAAGTTATTTCATTGTATGTACCCGCCTGTGCCCTCGCTTGGGTACTAGTTAGTTAATAATTAATATTAAAATTTTAATTTTTATTAGAGTCAAAACTAATATGCATTATGAACTTGGTCTTTCGGGTTAAGTGACTCTAACCACGTTTATAAGGTTCATATCCCCCTCCCCCAAGGCAACGGTTCGAGCCGGTCCCATGACAAAAATGTTCAAAAAAAAAACTAATATGCATTATTTTTTAAATTTATTTATTTTCAAAAACAAATAAAAATTAAGACATTAAAGAATATAGGTAAAATTATTTAAATATTTTTAATATCTTTTTTTAACATATTAATTCATTAAAAATATTTAAATCCTTTTTTTAAGGAGAGCAATTAATATATATATTCAGGTATATATGGAGATTAAAGAAAGAAGATTCTATGGGCTCATAAGCACAACTCACTGGATATAATCGCCATTAATCAAGCGTCTTAACCACCGCTAGGTGGAAGCATATGGAGCTCAAAATATTTAAATTTTATTATTACCATTTTTGATATTTTAATTGTGACAATTCTTTCTCTTAATCACCCAAAACCATTAATTGGACGTCCCAAATTGTGACAAGGGGTGAAAGTAGAAGTCAGGACTAACATAATGTTATGTACATTGCGGCGGAATATTATTACCCCGCATGCTAGTACTTTTCCTAGGGGGGCCTGAGCCCAAGCAGCAGCAGCCCACATGTGAATGGATTGGGGCTTTGTGGAAAAATGGGGCCCAACAAAAGTTTTAACCTGGGCCGGCCTGATCAGGTGAATTTGGACTCTTGTCCTGGAGTGGATCAGGATGAGTCTGTGCATCGGATGGCTACTATTATTCCGCATGGTAGATGTAAGCGGCACCGACGTTCTCACTTCAGGACAGGCGTTTACCAATGATGTTATTATCTATTGACAGAGTCATGTTGTGCTTGAATATTTTGGAGGTAGCTTACTCAAATTGTTAACTATATACCAATGATGTTATTATCTATTAACAGAGTTTGTAGTCATGTTTATATTTAAAATTGCAGGTTCTTGGTTTATGAGTATGTCAACAATGGAAATTTAGAACAATGGCTTCATGGATTTATGCGTCAGAAAGGATATCTTACTTGGAATGCTCACATGAAGGTCCTTCTTGGCACAGCTAAGGTGTAAGTCCGTTTTTAACGCACAACTAGTAATCTGGTTCTCTTACAAAAATTTAACTTGATATACTTTTTGCAGTCTAACCTATTTGCACGAGGCCATTGAACCCAAAGTGGTGCACTGAGACATTTAAGTCAAGCAATATATCGCTAGCGGTCTAAAGATAATAAAAAATAACTTTAAATTTTAAGTACAATACAAATATATAATTTTTAAAAGTTAAAATTTGTTTCTGTTTTTTTAATGCACCATGATTGAATCTTATCTTTCAAATCATGTTAAAAGTAAATAAAATTTAAAATAAATATTACTAAAATTAATTAGAAACATTTATAATCAACATTTAAAACTTCTCAACTAAACATTCAAGAATAACTAAATATCAAGAATAGTTTTATTATGAAATTTTAAGAATTCTGGAATGATGCTTCTTTAAGGTTTAATTAGAAAATTAAGAATATTATTTTAAGAAAAATTATAAATTTAGGATTCAAAGAGTGGAGTCACAAACATTTTTAAGGAGTAGAGTTGTAAACAAATTAGAAATTTAAAATTAGGGTTATAATGCATGATTAAAAAGAAAAAATTAATTAGAGAATATAAGCATATTTTATTTTTATTTTTTAATTAAATTAATAGAGTTATTATCTTATTAAACAAAAAAATTTAAAATACTACAAAAAATATATTATATTATTTTATTTTATTATTTTATAATTAGATTTTATTTTATAATCTAACGGTTTGATTGATTTAAAAGTAAAACT